GAGACGCATGAGAGGTCGGAATAGTCAGACTGTGCCCAAGTAAGTATGGTATGTCCACGGCGCTGTGATCCGCAATCCCATTCGAGAACAGCATGCGGGTGGAGGGAGGAGGAGGAGGAGGAGGAGGAGGAGGAGGTGGAGGAGGAGGGGGAGGAGGGGGAGGAGGAATAGGAGGGAGTGGTGTAGTAGTGGCTAGTAGTGAGAAACAGCAAACAATAATGACGGAGAGCAGATGGATGAGGGGCAGCAACGGCACCAGAGGAGGAGGAGTCAGAGGAGAAGCAGGAGGAACAGCAGTGGCAGATGCAGGAGAAGCAGGAGTGGCCTTCATGCCTGGGTCATGGACAAGAGGCCTTCTAGGGGTCTCTTAGAAGCCTCTTGGGGGCCTCTCCAAAGCATGTGGGGGGTCCCTTGGGGAATGCTTGAGCACTTCTTGCCCGAAATCTTATTCCGTGCTCCCCCTTGTGAGCCCTTGTTTGGGCTGTCTTGGAGACTTCCTGGTCCTTCTCAGGGGCCTCGGTGGCCATATGAGAGTGATCTTGTGGGCCTCTTGGGCCGTCTTGGACGTTGTTAAGACCGAAAGCCAAGCAAGGCGGTTGTACTATTTGAAAAGCGCTTTCTACCTGTACTGGCAAGCCCCCCCCCGCGGTTCGAACCAGGGGGGAAGCGGATAGAACTTGCTCCACTTCCGAACCGATGAGGTGGGGGGGGGGGGCGGACGTTCCCTCCTCTGTTGGGATTGGTGGAGGGGGAGGGGAAGAGAAAGCCCACCCCCCCGAAGGTAAAATCCCCCTCCCTGGTTCGACCTCGGAGGGTGCGGGGGGGGGTTCGGGCCTTGGCCGGGGCCCAGCCCCCGCCCTGGTCCTGGCCCCGGCCCAGGCCAGCCCCGATCGCTCTCGCCGTTTCCGTCGTCGTCGTCGTCGTCGTCGTCGTCGTCGACGTCCGCGTCGTCGTCGTAGGCCCAAACGAAACTCAACCAAAGCTGAAAGAAAGCTCCAAGAAAGCTCAAACAGATCTCAAACAAAGCTCAATCAGAGCTCAACTCACGTTCCAGCAAAGCTCAAACATAGCTCAAGCAGAGCTCAAACAAACCTCAAACAACGCTCGAACAAGGCTCAAACACTGCTCAAACAATGATCAAGCGAAACCCGAACAAGGCTCAAATTACACCAGAGAAACAACCCAATCAGTGGATGTGCTGATGTATATATATAGATGTGTATATATACACATACATACATACATGTGTGGGGGGTTGTGTATGTGTGTGTGTTTTGAGCGCACATAGTTTCCTTTACACATGTATGAATACGCATATCCACTCCGTATCCATCCCACTCCCTCTCTATGGTATGTATATGTATGTCTATATATATATATATATATATATATATATATATGCGAACCCTGGCACCAGGAACCGCGAACCTGGGAACCCAGCCGCCCACCGAGACCAATCCAGAACCCGGAAACGGGAATCTGGAACCCAGAACGGGAAACCTTGTCGGGCCGGACGAAACGGGGGGATTGGGAAAGGGGGGGTTACGAAATTTGCTGCATGCAGCTGGTTTCGGCCCCACCGAGGGGTCCATTCCTCGAAACATAGCCGCCTCCGGCGCCGGGAGGCGCCGGGAAAATCAGCTACGTGAGCTAATCTCAAACCCCCCTTTTGCTATCCCCCCTTTTCGCCCAGCCCGACCTTGGAACCTGGACCTGGCCGCCTACCGCAATCGGCGGTGAACTTGCGCCAAATCTTTGAATATCCGCCAGGACCCCTGCAATGCAAGCACTGATTGGGGAACAAAGCTCAAACAAAGCCACAGCAAAGCTCTAACAAAGCTCCAAAAAAGCTCCAACGAAGCTCCAACGAAGCTCCAACAAAGCTACAACAAAGTTCAAACAAAAGATCCAGCGAAGCTCTAACAAAGCTCGAGACAGTGTGGGCGGGCGAGGCAAGTGGGGCAATTGGGGCGCATTTCGAATGGCAGTGCATGACGGGGTCTGGGGCCAGGCCCAGAGCTGTGGCCGGGGAGGGCTTGGTTTGAGCTTTGATTGCGCTTTGTTTGAGCTTTGTTTGAGTTTTGTTAGAGCTTTATTTGAGCTTTGTTTCAGCTTTGTTTGAGCTTTGTTTGAGCTGTTTTTGAGCTTTGTTGGAGCTTGGTTTGAGCTTTGCTTGAATTTTGTTTGAACTTTGTTTGAGCTTTGTTTTAGCTATGCGGAGCTTTTTTGGAGCTCTGTTTACCTTCCTTGGAGCTATGTTCGAGCTTTGGTTGAGGTTTGTTTGAGTTGTTTTGAGCTTTGTTGGAGCTTTGAGCTTTGTTTAAGCTATGCTTGAACTTTGTTTAAACTTTGTATGAGCTTCGCTTGGTATTTGTTTGTGTTGTGGATGTGCTTTGTTTAAGCTGTTTTTGAGCTTGTTTGATCTTTGTCTGACCTTCAGTGGAGCTATGCTTGAGCGTTGGTTGAGTTTTGTTTGGGCTTTTTGGGGCATAGGCTTGAGCTATGCTTGAGCTGTTTTGAGCCCTGTGGGTGCTTTGTTTGTACTTTGTTTGAGCTTTGCTTGGCCTTTATTAGAGCTATGTTTGATCTTGTTTTGAGCTTTGTTGGAGCTCTGTTGGAGCTGCTTGAGCTTTGTTGGAGCTTCGTTCGACCTTCATTAGAGCTATGCTTGAGATTTGTTTGAACTTGTTTGAGCTTTGCTTGAGCTTTGTTTGAGCTTTGTTTGAGCTTTGTTTGAGCTTTGTTTGAGCTTTGTTTGAGCTGTTTTTGAGCTTTCGTTTGACCGTCATTGGAGCTATGCTTGAGATTTGATTGAACTTGTTTGAGATTTGCTTGAGCTTTGATTGAGGTTTGTTTGAGCTTTGTTTGAGCTATGTTTGAGCTTAGTTTGAGTTTTGCCTGAGTTATGATTGGGCTATGTTTGGGCTTTGTTTGAGCTTTGCTTGAGCTTACGACGACAACGGAAGCGGCGACGACGACAGCGACGGGTGGGACAGTACATGCAGACTTCACTCGGTGATGGGACAAGATCAGGGGGACAAATATCACAACCACTCAAGGCGCCGTTCGGGCGGGCGGGACATTAAATTTACTATTCGCTTAGTGATGGGGCGTTCAGTCGGGCGGGCGGGCGGGACATTTGATGTAACCTTCACCCTGCGATGGGACCAAGTTGGGGAAATCTACCACAACCACCAAAGACGCCGGTCGGGCGGGCGGTGCATTTAATGAAACCTTCACTCAGTGATAAGGCGTCATCATCACCATCATTACCATCATCATCACGACCACCATCATCATCACCATGGCCGTCGTCGTCGTCGTCGTCCTCCTCATGATCCTCTCCTCCTCATCCTCATCATCCTCATCATCATCGTCATTATCATCATCATCGTCATCATTTTCATTATCATCATCACCACCACCACCATCACCATCACCATTCTCATCACCATTACCATCGCCATCATCATCACCATCACCAACACCAGCATCATCATCATCATCAACATCATCATCACTACCACCACCACCATACGCATCACCACCATCACCATCATCATCATCATCAGCATCATCATAACAATCATCATCATCAGCATCAGCATCAGCATCAGCATCATCATCATCATCATCATCATCATCATCATCATCATCGTCGTCGTCGTCGTCGTCGTCGTCGTTATCATCACCGTCGTCATCATCATCGTCATCAGCATCGTTGTCATCATCAGCAGCATCTTCATCGCCAGCAGCCCAGGACGGCCCCAGAGGCCCTGCGTAGGTGCCCAGCGGGGGGGGCCAGGCACCTGTTCGAGATTGGCCCCCATTCGAACTGGGAGGGGCGGGTGGGACTCCCCTGGTTTCGAAGCAGGGGTAATGTCCCCCCCCCATTGGTTCCCGGGGAGGGGGGAGAGAAATTTGACCCCTCCCCTCCCCCCCCCCGGATTCCAGGACTGGTGAGGGGGCGAGCAACGACAGAGTCGCGTTCCATCGATTGTTTTGACCTGGGCCCGCCCCGAAGGGCTTCCAGGACGACACGCCAGGCGCCCCAAAGGGCACTTGAACGGCCCAGGGATCGTCTTAGACCGCGTTGGAAGTGTAGAGTCCTAGCCACACTCCCGAGGCCTCTGAGAAAGGCACGTTGGGAACCCCATGAACGCGCGCCCCGAACACGGGGGCCTGGGCCTGGGCCCTTCAGGCAAGGAGCATGGGGAGCAGTAGCAATACCAGGAGACGGAGCATGCTTGGGAGCAGGAGCAGGGTCAGATTGAGGAGGAGGGCAAAAATGATTGCGAGCGGGAGCGGACATGATGAGAGGAGGTAGAGCTTGAGGAGGAGGAGGAGGAGGAGGAGGAGGACGACGACAACAGGAGGAGAATAATGAGGAGGACGACCAGTAAAATCAGTAGACGAGCAGGAGGACGAAGAGGAGCGATGAGCAAGAAGAGCAGGCGAAGCAAGTGCACTATAAGGACAAGCAGCAGGACGGTGAGCAGGATCAGGAGGAAGAAGAGGAGTGTGAGCGTGCGGGACGGGAAGTGGACGAGGAGGGAGATCACGCTGGATGTGCACAGTGGAGGGGGAAGGTTGGGGAGGGGGCGGGGGGCAGAGGAGAGGCATGCGGAGTAGGAGGGAAAGAAGCAGGAGGAGTGGGGAGCAGGAGGAATGGGGGAAGCAGGACGCGCGGGAGGATCAGCAGCGGCCGGGGCAGGATGAAGATCATGATCACGGCCAGGAGCATGAGGAGGATCAGGAGGTTGGAAGCATGGTGGAGAATTAAGCTGAGGAGGGAGGAGGAGCACCAGTGTACGATAGGTTCGCGTCGTGTCGACTGGCGGCGACCCCGCCGACAGCGTTCATCTTTGAACGCCGGCGGCAGCCCAGAATCGATCGATGTTGAACGATCGGACATTGCGGAAACGGCCGATCGTTCAAGGTTGAACGATCCCCGCGGTGTCAGGAATCAACGCCCAGGTCGACACGAAACGATCTTGCCG